GGGGAGGCGGGGGCGGGGGGGTCTCCCGCCGAGCCCGGAACATTCTGCTGATGGAGGAGCGGGAGGCGGAGGAGACTCACTCAGTGGAGGAGAAGCCCTCAGATAAGGTGGCAGGAGCTGCTGCTCAGATCCCCTCTAGCTCAGCACAGAACCTGACAGGAACCCCCACCACCAACCTGATCACCAACCAGTCGACGGAGGCCGAGACTCACACCTACTGGCTGAAACCGACCGATTTGCCTCCTGCCCACAGGGCAGAGGAGTTCGTTAACGCTGTGGTGCCCGAGTACGAAGACTCCAACGAGACTGGCTCAGCCATGGGTCTCCCCTCTGAGGCCTCGTTCCAGCCCACCAAACCGCCCCCCGTCCTGCTGGAGCTGCGCTGGCTACCACCCAGACCCCCCACCGGCTACGACGGCTTCAACATCTACATCTACAAAGATGGTAAAGAGGAGGAATAGATTGCTGTCCTGCTTTTAATACAGAGTTAACAGTGTGCTCTCCAAGATTGAGATGAGACAGCACAGTAAACAACTTGTAACTGGTTGTTCAGTCCACTGATGGAGGGTTTCTGGGAGACTGGGATGATGGTGGAGCGATTGAAGCAGGAGGGGAAGTCACACAGTACCAGTGACCTGTTGAAGTGTCAAGATGGGGGCCAGCTGATCAACCCCTAGTCATCATAAAACCAATGAACAATGTGTTGGTTGGGACAGTAGCAGCGAGCTAGCTAACGTAGCCACTTCACTGTAGTCCAGAGCATTGGCCATCATCGGTCTCTCCACCTGCTCTCTCTGTTTGTCAGGGAACTCTACAGAAACAGCCACAGTGGACGGAAACACCCATGAGTTCTTCACCGAGTTAACAGAGCCGGGGACATACCGAGTCCAGGTCACCACGCTGAGCTCATCTGGAGACTGTGAGGCCAGAGAGAGCGCCGCTGACACCGGCTTTGCTTTCTACCTCAGTGCGTACAGTGAGGCCTCAAAAATTAGCAGCACACTGGAGCTGTGGAGCCATGCTATTCACCATAAAATGCCATTAATTTAGCCAGGAATAGTGGCCTAGCTAAGGGATTTTAGCGGGATTTATAGTGGATTATTAGGGGTTCTGATAATGAACCCCAGTAGAAGATCTGTTTGTGTACCTAAAGTATGTCATTTTGTGCATCTAAATGAGTTTTACCCTTTAAATGCACCTTAATCCATGTAGAAAACCCATTAAAATCCCTTAGTTGATCCCAAATCTGGGTAAATGCCTTAAAATCTAATTCTTTTGCAGCTGAAATATTTCAAAGCCCTTAACCTTAATAACACCTTACACTCAATATTCAAGGATTTGACATATATTTCTCTTAGTGTGGAAAGTTGTGATTCAAGAAGGTTTTATTGGCTTATCTGCACAGTTTAAGGCTTTTTTAAGGGTTAAAACAGCTTTAAAATGAACAAAACAACCAACAGCAGAGGTTTATTTATTGACTTTTACTTGAGGGTTTTTCACCCCTTAATAAAACCCTTAAACTGTGCAGACAGCCCATTAAAAATATCTTGCATGTAATTATTATCTCCTTAAATTCTTATTTAAACTACACTAACGACATTCTCCAGAAAATTAAGGTTAAACATGGTGAGATTTGGTTTATTTGAGTCTTACTTTCCACCCATCTTCATTCTGGGTACCGCAGTAATGTGGTAAATAAGTGTTTCTGTACATCCCTGCTATAAATCAGTATCTCCTGGGTCCAGGTCCTGGCAGGGAGCTGTTGGAGGAGCTGCGGGAGCGTCCTCAGGCCGTCAGCGTCCGACTGCTGGACTCCAGCACCGCCGCCATCTCCTGGGCTCCGTCCTCTGAGAGCCACAACGGCAGCCTGGTGTCGGTGGTCTCCACAACGTGCCTGAAACCCAGTATGAGCCAGAGGATGGAAAACACGTACTGCAGCGAGGTAACGGGACCCGTCCGCTGTCTGTTACATCTGACTGGATTTTAAAGTTGCTAGTTTCAAGGTTTGGTTTGTTCATCCAGAAGAGTGCGTCTGTCTCATCGACCAAAACACAGAAGGTTAACCGACGTTAATGGTGACATTTCTAATGTATTAAAGTCTTCTAAAGGGTTGTCTGCACAGGTTAAAGGAATAAAAACACCTTAAAAATAACAACAGCATAAAAGCCAGAATGTAATTTATACAGGTGAAAACCAATAACATATTGTATAAAATATTTTAAAAAGGTTTTTAACAGTACAGTACAAAGAAGAGCAGTAATTTTTTGTTTCTTAAAATGTTTATTTTTGCCCAAATTATTAACATAATTTTAAATGAATATTCTTAGTGTAAAATGTTTTTTACTTTTTGCCTTCTCTTTATATCAAATGTGTCCATTCTATTCAGTTACCAAGAGAATTGAGTTTCATGTTTTAAAAGCTTAAAAGCTTAAAAGCCCACACTGGAAGTATCCTATTACTAGTTACTTAGTGGACCTGTAAGCTGACATTGGAAACCAATTGACGGCAGAATGTGGTCTGACTTGTGCTCCACCATGAGGTGTGAAACACAAACGCAGTGTGAAGTGTTTTGCTCACAGACGCCGGCTGTTTGATAACCAGGACAGGTGTGACCCGGCGTTCCATCCAGGGTTTGACCGGGCACAGTTTATTGATGCTGAACCTCCTGGTGATGCGAGGCTGAGACTGGAGACCCAGGCTGTTGTTGTTTTCTGTTTTCACAGGAAAACTCGACGAGCGACCTCATCACTAACCTGACCCCTGGGGCTCAGTACAGGGTGGTGGTCTATCACACTAACGGGCCCCTGATCAGTCCGCCGTCTGAGCCCGTCATCATCGACATAGGTGAGCGACCGGTCCTACATCTGCTTTCATACTTACGCTCGTTCATTTCGCTGCTGTACATCAACTCGGTCAGTCATCCTCGGTGACAAACACCAGTCTGTGACGTGTCAGAGCCCACAGGGGTCCGGGAGCTGACCGCCTACACCCTGGGTCCGACGGCGGTGATCCTGAGCTGGCAGCGACCATACCATGTGGCCTTCAGGAAGTACGTCCTGCAGACCTTCTTCTTTAACCCGGTCACCCTGGCCTCGGAGTGGACCACCTACTACGAGATCGCCGCCACCGCCTCCGTCATCGCTTCAGTGGTAACGCTCACACACACTGAGGACAAGCATCTCTGCTTTGTTTTTGCTTTTAATGAACCACGGTGAAAATTCATCTGGTTTTCAGGGTGAAAATGAGACTAAAATGCTTTTAGTTTTCATTGACTGAAAAGCTTCAGCTGCCAAACCAAAAGAAAAAGTCCCGGTCACAGCAGATTAGATGGAATCTAAACAGGGACCACATGATCTCAGGAGGCAGGAGGAAGTCCCGCCTTCCACGCTACTGGTCTCTACCACTGCGTTTACACTGGCTGCCACATCTGGAGCTGTTCTGCAGTGAAGGCTGCACACGTTGGTCCCCATAAAGCAGACTCAGATTAGACCAGCTGCTGCAGGACGTCCTGTCTCTTCTCCTCTCACTCTTTCTGTTCTTGTCTCCTCTCAGAGAGTGACCGACCTTCTGCCGGCGTGGTACTATAATTTCCGTGTTTCCATGGTGACGTGGGGCGACCCGCCGCTCAGCTGCTGCGACAGCTCGACTGTGAGCCTCGTTACAGGTGTGGACACTGACTGTCCTGTGTGGAGATGAATGTAGTCACATGATGAGCTGCTGTTACGTGGTAGCTCTCCATCTTTGTTTTCTTCATGCTAAATCTGCACCTGATTGTGTCCATGGTGGCGCCTCACCCACTAGGGTCGTCTCAATACTGACCCCCTCATACTGAATATATGAAGCACTGCCCCAACAAGCAACAGCTGCCAGTAGGAGTGTTTTCTACATCGGCCACATCATCAGTTTGGTACCACGTCTAAAATGTTCTGCTGGTTAGATAGACAGACAGCCTTTATTGTCATTGGACAGGATATGACAACGTTACACGGCCGTCTGGGATGATGGTGGAGCGTCTACTACCGCCATCAGCAGCACTCAGTAGGAGGGCAGTGCTTCAAGACCTATAATAAAATGCACTTAATATGTGTTGTGTTAAACAAGGTGATTATGTTTATGTAGCCAGTAGAGGTGGATTTTCCCCTGCTCACACACCAGGACACACACAGGATGTTGGTCCTGATGCTTAGCTGACGTGGGACCCTGGGGCTCTTCTGTTCCTTTCTGTGCGCAGGCTTTACTCTCAGGCTCTGTGGGTGTTAACAGCCTCAGGTCTGTGGTGGTGACTCACAATGTGCCTGTCGTACTGTGTGACTCATGTAACTTCTGGTGTGCAGCTCCCGAGGCCCCCCACATCTCCGCGGTGGACTACTCCCACGGAGTGTTGTATGTTCGCTGGACGTATGGTGAGCTCTTTGTCGACCTGTCACACTCCAGGATGCTGCACTGGCAGGTACTCGCTGTCGGCAAGAAGGGCCCCGAGAAGAGCTACTCCGCTGACGTAAGTTCTTCATTCACCAAGCTGCTGAGACAGTAAAATCAGTTTGTTGAGTGTGTGAGACTCGGTTGTGGTGCCGTGTATTAACCTGGCCAGTGAAACCGTTCAACAAAGCAGCTCTTCAGGAGCGCTGAGGCGGAGTCTGAGCTTCTGCTGACAGAGCAGAAGGACTGGATCACAGCTCACACACACACACACACACACACACAGATAGTGCTTTAAACACACACCAGCCACTTTATTAGGTACAAGTGAATGCAGCTCGGCCACAACATCTGCAATCCATACGGTGTAAAACCCACTGATATGCTTATTAGCGAGCGCATGGTGGTTTTCTACCAGACTACATGACAGGCTGAGGTGTCTGCTTTTTGGCCTCCCCATGAGGTGGTCAGAATATTAGGAACATTATGTATATGTTGGACTGTTGTTGTTTTGTCAAGGGGAAACTGAAGCACTGAGTCCCTGAAATAGTTAATGAGACATGACAGAGCAGCCACTTGAAAAATGAACAAGACCATTAGTTGATTATCAAAACAGATAGATGTTGGCGGCAGCAGACCTCAGAACAGTCGATAGTGTCACATAGCGTCAGCTGCTGCTGACCTCACTCATGAAGTCTGTGTGAGATTCACCAGTGGAAATTGTTTGTAGCTGCACAAACATTTTACATGTGCCTACCATGTTCAGCTGTGCACATACTTTTGGCCATGTAGTCATCTAGCTACAAACCACATTCACCTTTTGTGGGCAATTATAGCGGGTGCCCACTCAGATGTCCAACCTGAACTCGGGGTTCCTTCCTACACAGCCTGAGGACGTCAGCTTTGGACTCATCGCTGAAATGTTGTGGTCGTTTTGTGCCATGTGGGAACTCTTGTCTCTCTGTAGATGCACACATCCTTTTGTTTGGCGCCATTTAAAGCATTTTTACCAGCTCGCACTCTGCAGCCTGCAGAAGCTTGTTATTTCAGGGTCGTGTCGAGCTGCTATTGATTATCTCCTCTAGGTCCTTTCGATCGTCCAATTAGCAGCAGAGGATTGACCTCCTGTCTCTGCCGCAGGAGTCCGACTCATCATCTCCTCCATGAGGCCAATTATGTTCCCAGCAGACCTGCTCATGTATTCACTGTCTGCGGGTCGGAGGTGCTGTTGGAGCTCGGATTGGCCTGACTGATGGAGCCCACACTGCCACAGGATGAACAGGGCGGACGTGTTGAAAACATGTTTACTGCTGTACACCATTCACCGAAGTGCAGAAAATCCTGACGCCCTGTGCAGTATGATAGAGAGGCAGCTCGCTGTGCTTTGATTGTTTTCTCAGTGGAGACACTAGGGCGCATGTGGTGGACATTTTTGGAGAAGCTTCTGATCAGGCCAAACGGGAAGGAACATATCGTAACCCAGCAGTCTGGGAGGAAACTGGGCCGTTTGACCGTTGCACACACGATCTGGTTGTTATTCTAGTGCGCACATGGCTCACATTTCAGTTACACCTGTGCATGTGTGGCAGTTTAGGAGCTGAGCAGTGTTCACACTGGAGCCGGGTACTCGGTGCTGACACGCACGGACGGGAAGCAGCAACACAACAAGGTCAGAGTGTTGAGGCCTGGGGCGTGGACGCTGCCTGGGTGGAAGTGGCAGTGTTGTGGGTGGTCCAGGTGATTTCTAAGTGGTCCCTAAGCAGGTGCTAGGATGTTCGTGGTGATTAGTAGGCCCCACAAGGTGGGACTCATTGGTGGTGACTGGCACAGTCCAGATGTTTACCATGGCATTTGTTCAGGGCACACTAGCATCACAGATAACTCTCAGTGCAACACAGTCTAGGTGAACAGCAGCACAAACCCGAGCCTCCACAGTGATCACACAGCTCTAATAGACATGATGGGTGTTTTATGGTTAAACTAAATATCAGTGGATGAGAAAAGTCATGTTTGTCAGTGATGCTCAGGATGTGACCACAAGCTGTTAGTGGGTTAGACAGCTGGTAAAATTGCATCCTGTCAGTCTGGCTGTGGCTGTTCTGTGAACTTGTATGTCACTGGTGGATTAAACAGAGTGTCTAACGCGTGTTCTTGTTAGGTCACTCGGAACGTGATGCGGGCCAGCCTCCCTCTGCCTCCAGGTGACATCTACAACCTGACAGTGACGGCCTGCACTGAGCGCAGCAGGAACACCTCTGTGCCGAACATCATCAAACTGGGTCAGTGTCACATGTGCACAGGAGCTGAAAGAAAATGCCACCACACATCTGCACCTGCTGTTACGGAAGTGCAGCTTGTCCTCCAAACCCAGAGCTGCACCCTCCTGTTACCCTGATGAATCTAAATCAGAATTAAACAAATCATTTCTACGTTTGAATATTAAATGATAAATATAATAAATGATATTCCTGGCCTGCGGTAGCACTTCCTCAGATTTGGTGTATTAACCTGTGTTCAGACACAACGTGAAGCTAATTAAAGGGGCAGCATGGGGCGGCTGTGGCTCAGGAGGTAGAGCGGGTCATTTCCTTACCGGCGGATTAGTGGTTCGATTCCCGGCTTGTCCAGTCAACATGTCGAAGTGTCCTTGAGCAAGACACTGAACCCCCAGTTGCTCCCGGTGATGTCACCGGTGTGTGAATGTGTGAGTGTTTGGGAGTGCGAATGGGTGAATGGCCAAATAGTGTGAAAGCGCTTTGAGTGTGCTGTAAAGCATAGAAAGGCGCTATACAAATATAAGACCATTTACCACTAGCATGCAGACCCAGAGAAAAGACTAGTATAGACTTTGGGTTACAAACGGCTAACGACCAGGCTTCTGATCTGATTCTGATTCTTCTCCTGATGTAAACCTGTGCCAGTGAATGTGCTCCTGTATGATGTTTGTTATGGATTGAACAATGAGGAAATGAAGTTTGTTTCAGAGCAGGTTTGTTGACTTGAAGTTGCAGCAGCTTCACACTGTTAGACCCAGTGCGTGGGACTGGGACCCACCCTGCGGAAGCACAGCAGCCAGATGTGTTCACACTCTCTCTCTAGGGCGACAAGACTGAGCACCAATCCTCTCTGCCCCAGTGTGTCAGTTAGAGATTGACAGAACAAATATGAAACTTAATGTTTTCACTTCCTCTTCTGAGCATGTTGAAGTATTTTTGTCCCCAGAGGAAGTGTCAGAGTTCTCTGAGTCTCTGCTCAGCTCAGACCTGGTTTGCACTTGCAGGTGTAAACTGAGTCTGTGCTGGTGTTGTTTCACACAGAGCCGGCTCCTCCCAGGGCTCTGTACGCTGTGAACGCCACTCACTCATCCGTGACTCTGCTGTGGACTGAGGAGGGAGTGGTCGACTACTACCAGGTCCTCTGTCGGCCCAACAGAGCCAACAAGGAGCGCAAGGTAAAAGTGCTGACTCTGTTTAATTTCAGCAAATCATCAAATTTGAGACATGCACTGAGAAATGGAGAAGTGTAGAAAATGCTTCATTGAATGCAACCTGTGTATTCCACTGTGCAGCTGTAAAAGACGGTGACAGATGAAAGTAAAAACCTGATTGAGTGGAAGCCCAACCAGCAGGGTCACTGATCAATCAGCTGATCACTGTCCTGATGATCTGATTGATCAGTTTATCCCCAGAATGTCAGACATTGGGAAAACGTCCCACTGTGACTCTCCAGAACCAAAGGTGGCGTCTCCACACGTCTTGTTGTGTCCAACCAGCAGATCCACAGAGACTCAGCTGATTCTTATGTCTGACAAAGAAAAGCATCAGCTCCTCACATTAAAGAAGGTGGAACCAGAACATGTTTCTAAATAGCTGAGGTTCATTTTCTACCAGTGAACTGACTCATGGCTGCAGCTCTAGGTCACTGAATGGCTTCATGAGGACGACACGGTGGGTCAGACACGGCGGGGTAGGACACGGTGGGTTGGACACAGTTTGGAAAGAGGAGGTTTCCTCCTCCAACAGAGGAGACCTGACGCTGCTCTGGAGACGAGGCCCTGCTGGGGACTGGGTGGCGGTTTGGCCTGTCAGCTGTCACGCAGCTGTATTTGATCAGTGTTTACTGAATGAGAGGTTGGTGCCACCTCCAGTTTGTGAAGCTTCTCAGTGAAGCGAGTGGGAGACAAAATGAGCTGTGACTACAGCCACAACATTTTCTAGGATAAAGCTTCAAATCTGACTGAACAACATGTTAGAAACTGACAGTCCTGTTTCTTGCCATGCGACTTCCACATGAACTGAGCAGTCAGGGTCCAATTTGACCTTTGTGTGCAGCAGGTTGTTGGTGTCTCAGCTCAGACCTCCTGCGTTTCCCCTTAGTCATGTGCAGGAGGAGGAGGGGTGTGTTTCTGCAGGGCGCCACTGACTGCGGCTACATCCCAGTTCCCTTATTTGAATCTGCGTTTCCCTCACTTTCATTTTCCCCTGTGTCTTAGTCCTCTGAAAAGAAAATGTGAGAAGAGAGAATTTGAGGGAACATGAGACCTTTCCTCTGATCCTTCATCTGAAGCATCCGGCCACCAAAAGATTTCTGATAAAGGTCCATAAAAGCCTTCAGTGCAGGACGTTCTCTTGTGTCCTGGCTCATGGCTCCTCCAGCAGCCACCTCGCTCCTCAGAGCAGGAATAAGAGCTTTGGGGCATCCTGTTCGACTGAGGAGTGACCAGTCAAGGAAAATGGGATGTACCCTGTGACAGCTGCTGACCTTTTCCCTCTGCTCATTCATTATCCTTTGTCTTTCAGGCCCGGGAGCCTCAGACCACCAGCTCTCACGTGGTGACAGTCTCTGGTTTGATGCCATCGTCCACCTACAACTGCACTGTCACCAGCTTCAGCTACAGCACACCCAGCAGACCTGCACACATCACCATCAGCACCACCGGTAGGTCCCATCTACTCTCACTCCTCCTGCAGTACAGGGGCCTCGTTAGTACCACGACAGTGGAGGACGTTTACTGTGAGTGTTGTCTTATTGTTTGTATCTTTATTGTTAACACACAAAGCCAGAATCTCCTTCATTTGTCCATTTATTCAAATTTTTTTTTTTTAGTTTTTGAAATATTTGACAAGTAATCGGTGACCAGATTATAATGGTATTGAAGTTGAGGGATTTTGTTAATGGCAAAGTCCAAAATATTTTCACCTGCTACTTAATGAGATTTTCAGGCAGCAGGTTCACACTGATAGAGGTGGATGGTTGACCTGTCGAGCCCAAAGGGAAGCTGCAGTGTTACAGCACTCAACTCTAAGTTAGGTCTGATTATCCCATACAGCACAGGTCTCTAATGGATTTTCTGCATGAAGGCTTTTAATGTGAGGGAAGGATGGAATGGGAGATTGACCGGTGGATCGGTGCAGCTTCTGCAGTAATGCGGTCGATATACCGGTCCGTCGTGGTGAAGAAGGAGCTGAGCTGTAAGGCGAAGCTCTCGATTTACTGGTCGATCCACGTTCCGACTCTCACCTATGGTCATGAGCTTTGGGTCATGACCGAAAGGGCAAGATCCCGGATACAGGCGGCC